GGCTTCTTGTTTTCTCTCACCCCAAGTAAAATTCCCAAATTGGAGAGGCAAATGCAGTGTTTTTCACTTAAAAACCACAGTGAGTACACAGAAAGAGAATGGGGGATTTCTGGTACTTATAGAAATTTGTTTGGAATGATAATTTAGTACAGACTTAGTATAGTTGAAAAGAAAGGGAGGGGTGGTGGAAACAACTGTTGTTGCTGGAGGATCTGCTGGGGATTGCTGGTTTCCCTCCAACTTTTGACTTTTTTATCTGCAGAACAATATTTAGGGCAGCCAACAGCACACGCTTTACAGTAGCTGAGTTCTGTGGACAGGCATGGGGTATCTACCTGAATTCATCCTCTAGTTGTTCTGTCCCCGTTGTTTCTCTGGCACTTGCCTGATCATGAGAGAAGGTTGAGGTAGTGGAAGACAAGATTTTGTATGACAGCGGTAGCATCATGCATGAGATCTCAAGCAAAATCTGGAGCTTGTAAAACGCCTCCTTTCTTTTTAGTGCTCAGCAGGATAGCCTGAAAAAGGCCAACATGAAGAGAGAGAACAAGGCATATTCTTTCAAGGAGCAGATCATCGAGCTGGAGCTGAAGGAGGTATGGTCTGGTCGGCCTACTGGCTATTAGAGTGGGAGCCAGCGAGAGAAGTGGACTGTGTGTGAAGCTTGTATAGCAGGGTTACTCAACCTTGGCAACTTTAAGATGGGTGGACTTCAACTCCCAGAATTCCCCAGCCAGCAAGGCTGGGGCTGGGGAATTCTGGGAGTTGGAGTCCACCCATCTTAAAATTGCCAAGGTTGAGGAACCCTGTTGTATAGGACTGATCTGGATTCTGATCCATGCCTGGCTGTGTGGGTAGCCTAGCTGTGTCTCATGGGATAAGATGGGAAGATGGCATGTTTCTGGATGGTATAGAAGGTAAGGATACAAAGGAAGGAAAATGAGAAAAGAATAAATAATCCAGTTAGCAGATCCTGGTTGAAGCTGACCTCCTTTTCTTAAGCAGGGATGCATAACTTCTTCCAGGTCAAGGAAAGGCTATGCTGTAAAAGCCAAATGCATATGTGTGTGTATGTGTGTGTGTGAAATATATATCTCTGTCTAATGTTTTACAGATAGTCCTTGTTTAGCGTCTGTTTGCAGTTACACTGGTGATGAAAAAGTAACTTTGCGACCAATCCTCGCATTTACAACCTTCACAGGTCTATAAAGCAAAGGAAAGCTGAAGTCACATCATAAGCACAGTGGCAGTTTCACTTTGTGACCGCTTTGCTTAACAATTGAGTTGCCAGTCCCAGTTGTGGTCGCTAAACGAGGACTACCTGTACATGCAAGAAAATGGAAACCAGAAAATTCCAGTTAGCACTAATAGTTCTAATAGGATAATTAGTTAAATCCTAGGAAGTTGATTTACAGTCACTTGGTCTTTGTTCTGTCCAATACTAAATGAATGGGAGTGACTGGCTAAGGCCTCCAGCAAACATCTGTTGTATTGCATGTTAACACCCATTTCTCTGGAGATGCCTTGGGTTCAGTGGTGTACACATGGGGCCGTTTGTAACCAAACCAAAGCATATGCTCTCTTCCTGAATTTCGGTCCATTTCCCTTTCTGGCAAGACAAAGCACAATTTGCATGTCAACAATAGGATGCTGGATTCTCCCAAACATCAAGTCTCTGAGAAAAAGCACCATCCAATCTGAGTAGGTTAGAAGCCCTTCCTGTTTCACAGCAGAGCTGCGGGTGATCCAATCACCCTAACCCTTGGAACGGAGCCTTTGAACTGAATTGCAGAATTGTTTCAACACTTCAAATCAGATTGGATGCCTTCAAATCTATGATTTGATAGATTTTGGTGCACGTACACCTCCACTTCCATCAAATCTGTTGGTCGGTTTGATCCAGCCTTGAAAGTTCGAATGGAATTGGTTCAGCTCTTGCAATGGAATTGAATTGCAAATTCAGATTGGATCTTGGCTGATTTGCACACTTCAGTATTTGCTTTTCCCATAATCTTGCTTTCTGTATTTCTTCTTGTTTGAGCATCACTGATTCTGGTAAGGTTCTGCTAGAGATGTACAAGTCTGCATTTACCATGGCTTTTAACGTTCTAATATTTCACTGTTTTCAGTTCTAGTTTTTAGTCTTTTATATTCTCTTATTCTGACAATGCATTTATGATTATAGTATTATGATTGTTTTTATAGCATTTATGGAAGCTGCCCAGAGCTTTTAAGAGCATGACGGTCATGCATACAGTATTTTCCAGTGAAAGAGAGAAAAGTTTAATAAAGCCGAGATAATGCTGCTGTTATCATTATGTTTACCACTGTGTTCCAATTTATTTTATATTTTTATTAGTATTCTTAAGCGCTGACATTCCTTTTCAATAAGATCTTGCCTCCCAGTTGACGAAATAAATGGCTGTCCATTGCAGGAGATTAAGAAGAAGAAAGGAATCAAGGAAGAGATTCAACTCACTAGTAAACAAAAGGAGATGTTGACTGCACAACTGGAGAAAGAATCTCAGATGAGAAAACAACTGAAAGAGGTAATTCAAAGTTGGGCTGAGTCTTGAACCCTTTTTTTTTTTTTAATAGAACACGAACAAGATCTGCACGGTTGGAATGAGTGGAATGGGGAGAGAAGGATAGCTTGTATAGTACAAGGAGTCCTGGAGGAAATGCTTTGTGTGAGTGTGAGGGGAGGTCACAGTCTTGTTGTGTTCCCCTGGGATGGATAAATTTGGTTTCCAAAGAGCATCTTCAGCCAACTCTTGCTCTAAAGCTCTGCAATTGAGGAACCCTGTTGGTAGGCCTGAGAACTCCTTGAGAATGATGCCAGCCAACTCCTGGGTTCATTTCTTAGCTTCACTGGAGTGTAGTGAAGAACTTGTCAAGTATCTTCAGAAATGGCTAAACAATTGGTTTTTGATGAAAGAATCAATTCTTCACTGTTCTTCCATGCTGGTTCCTACCTTCTTTTACTTGCCTTACTCCATACTTCAGCCAGCAGCCTGCGGTCTTTTATTTGCAAATAGAGTTTAGTTCTGCTGCCTCTCAGAGAATGCCCAGAATAAAAGATGAGGGGAAAAAGTATCTTGTTACCTTCCAGGTAGGTGGTCTTCAATTCCCAGAATCCTCAACTAGGTGAGAATTCCGAGAGTTGAAATCCACACATCTAAAGGATAGCCAAGTTGGAGAAAGCTGAAATACCAATAGAAGAGAAGATCTGTAGCTAAGGGTTGAGTTGTGAAGTCCTTGGTGCTCTCTGAGCTTGGCGGTTTGCTTGCAGACGCTTCGTAACCCGACTCGGTAACATCATCAGTGCACCTAGTCGGGTAATGAAACGTCTGCAAGCAAACCACCAAGCTCAGAGAGTCCCAAGGACTCCCCAAGCTGAAATAAAAATGTACACACCTTATTTTTTTTTTTCCTGCTTCAGAGATAAGGTGGATTCTCATCAAGTGGCTTTATTGGAAGCATTGACTTTGGTCAACAATAACGATATGATCAACTGATATACTTTGTCCTTTATCACTCAGTGGCTGAATTAGCCCAGAGTGCTAAGCTGTGATGACTGAACCAGCCATAATGGTCTGATTCACCCATTAAGCCCTGAAGCCAGGTGGACAAATCAAAGTGTTGTGTTTTTTTTTTAATCTGGACTCAGTCGTTACCGACTCTGCAGTGACTGCTTTTGGACGAGTCCTTTTGCAGTTTTCAAGGCAAGGTGTTTTGGAAGTGGTTTGCCAGTGCCTCCTTCCTAGAGCAGAGCCCAGCTGGCGAGCGCAGGAGGAAGGGTTTCCGTTGCTTCGCGCCTTTTTTGGGCGAGCACGGCTTCCGGGCTACTGGCAACTGCTCCTGATTCCTTTTTGCAAGGCGCCGCCAGCATTTTTCCTCCCACCAGAGTGAGAGTCCCCACTTTACTACTCCCGTGAGT